CAAAGTCCGGTTTTTCCGATGATACTTGGTTCTTTTGTTACATGTGTTGTGGAATTGGGCCTCATGCCAGAAATGCTACATCTTGCTTTAGGAGGGTAGAGGAGGGCCAGCTTTCCGCATCAGAGGCCTTGTGGGAAGCCTTCTACAGGATGATTGAAGTGGAAAAGGCATTCTGATCACACCCTTAGCTGGCCCTCTGTCTTTAGGGGAATCTAAGCCTAGACCGTCTACAAGTGTTTATTTTTATGCAGCTTTCTTTCTTTCTTTCTTTGGAAAGTAACACACATCCACACTTAAAATACAGACAAAAATGATGAATCCAAGGATCACAAGAGATGGGTAGGTTTTAAATCTGCATTGGTAATAGTTTATGTTCAGTTATCTTCATTGTCATGTCACCTTTATGAGACTCACCCCACAATTTGTCCATCCCTTTTAGATTGACTTCTTGAATCAGAACCCTATTTAAAAACACCTTTCATATGCCTAAAGACCATTTCCAGGAATAGGTCTGTATTAACTCAGTCAAACCTGGCTCGATTGAAGAAAGGTTCACTCCATGGGGATTTTAAGTATGATACTTCTTTGAGATGTGACTGTCATCACTCCACCATATTGTGCTGTGCAGGTGTGTGTCCTGCTGAGTTTATTTTGTACATGATCATGTGCATGCAGCAGAAGGAGGGGCTGGGGTTGGAGTGTGGGCAGAGCACATTTCATACAGGGGCTATCAATGTAGTTACCTCTTGCTTCCTAAAGTAAGCGATGAGTCCTTAAAGGCAGAAGCACCGTCTTTCGTTATCTTTTGTTTTTCCTTAACACTTAGTAGGTTTAGCATAAACAGGAGATGTTTAATAAAACCAGCATTGGACCTTAAACATGAGTTTTAGTTTGATTTCCTATGGCTGATGGAGAACATCAGAGGCAAGTACTTTTATTCTTAAGTTTTTATTTAAATTCCATTTAACACAGTGTAATATTCGTTTCAGGTGCACAGTATAGCGATTCAACACTTCCATACATCATCCAGTGCTCATCACAATGCAAGTGTACTCCTTAATCAAGTCCAGTGCTTTTAGATGGCTCACCTTGTCCAGGTGTCCTTGTGGTTAAAGTGGATCCAGGAAATTGTTAGTCTTAACTCTGTTGGTATTTTAGGGTCAATTCAAAGGGATCTATTCAAACCAGCTACATAGGGACATGTTTTTTGGGTACTCCAATACATTAGAGCTGAATTTAAAACTATGCAAACAGAAAAAAAAGGTGATAAGTTAATCAGGTGATAATTAAAGCAAATAAACCAAATATCTAATTAAATAGATTGTCAAATTCCACAATATGTGCTTGTTGAAGAGTAGATGAATGTACCTGCTAACTCATGGCACAGTCCCTAAAATCAAGCCAAAGAGATTTAATGTGATCCTAAATTAGGTCATCTGCAAATATTTGTATTTGCAGAGGTAAAGAGTTGTGACCTCTGTCGGCTTGTATTTACTTAATGAGAGAAAATTCTCTTAGAATAAGAGTTCCAAAATATGGAGCAAAATTTCCCATTAAATTAAAAAAAAACTTCACTTTTCTGATAAATGATACAGGATAAATTAAAATTAACTTAATTAGATTAAAAAATTAAATTACATTAAATTATTTAAATTACATTAAATTAAAAAAAACTTCACTTTTCTGATAAGTGATACAGGATAAAGATTTAAAAAGAAAACTGCTTACCTGGGTGGCTCAGTCGGTTAGGCTTTTAAGCGTCTGACTCTTGCTTTCAGATCAGGTCATGATCTCAGGGTCGTGGGATCGAGCCCGGCGTCGGGTTCTGTGCTCAGCGCAGAGTCTGCTTGTCCCTCTCCCCACCTCCCCCACCCTGTCTCTGTCACTCACCCAAAATGAATAAACAAAATATTAAAAAAAAAAACAAACTGCTTACCGAGTGCATTGACCACGATGTTCTGAAAAAATGCCTTAACCCCGCTTGGTGAAATAATTGGTGGGAGTGGGGGAATGGCACCTATCTAGACCCAGTGCTGTCAGGATGACGGAAATGAGCATTCGACAAAGAACTTGCCCGCACAGATGGCTGTAGGCAGTAGCTTTTTCACATGATCACCTGACATATTGTCTGTGAGTTGCAACTTGTAAGAAGAAACTGCCCTGAATCCCAGTGAGGACACTTGTCTCTTACTTTTTACCTGCTGTGTGGCTGCAGTTTCTTTGGGCTTCCGTTTGCTGATCCACGGCAGGAAAGATTGGTAAAAATGATACCACGCGTCTCCTTTGGCTTTCGATGCTGACTTTTTGTTATTGGTTGTAGTGGTGTTTTTTAAAAGACATACTGTGATGCTATGATTTTCAATACAAGTTCAAATGCTGCCTTTAATTCTCCATTTTTGTATAAACCAAAAATGGGAGGAAAAACAAAATTTAGATTAAATGCTGTACACTTAGGGAAAAAGCTTATCTCTATTTTTTAAGCATAGAATATCAATAAAATATACTTTGTTTTTATTTGACATAAGTTTTAAGCTCCTTAAATACTGATGTGTTCATGTGCTGTTTTATATTAAATACATTTTAAATGTTGATCCAAAATGTATATTTGAGATCACCCACCTGCTACAGTAAGTAGAAACCTTTTGTGTTACTAATTAGAATGTCATAATTAATCCATTTTTGCTAGTTTCTACAAATAACGCAAGTAATGACCAAGACATTTTTGCTTTTTAGAGTCTTATTACAATCCTGAAGCTGAAGAACTGGATTATTAAGTGCAAGGAAGGAACCTGCTTATGTAACTTTACATCTCTTAGAAAACACCATTAATGTGTATGTTTGGTCTGTTTGGCAGAATCATTAAAATGTATGTGGAAGGGATGCAGAAACGTGCAACTCTGTAGAACTGACCGATCCCTCTGCCGTCCAGAGTCACTTGCTTTGTTCAGTAGATCTGCAGTCATTGCTGCATGTAAATATAATTTAGCAATAAGGACCGTTGATTCCTTGAAAATCACTTTTTTTCTTTTTTGAACTTAATCATAGATAACTTTGTTTTGCTCTGGTTAGCCACTGCTTTCGATTAAAAATGCCCTCTCTGTATCATCCGCTATAATATACTTAACAAGTGATGACGTTAAAGAAATGCAAAACAGGTTAGACTAAAGAAAGAGGTGGGGAAAGAATTTCTGATACAGACGAAGAAGCCCACAGACATTGGGGTCAGGCTGGCTGTGTGGTTATTGTTTGAAGAGGTACCAATCTCTGTGAGACCTCTATGTGGTGTGTTAGCAGACATGCTCAGGCTGGGGCTGTGGTGAAGCGACATGTTTTAGAGTTGTTCTAGATGTTGAAATTGTGCTTACTACCACCGAAATCGGAATTCATTTCCATAACTTTGTTTTTGCATTCAGAGCTGAATTAGGCCAACTTCCATTGCTGCAGTTTTATTTCCAAGTGTGAATAAGGCAGGACGTCCTTGAATAATCCTCCTCCTCCTCCTCCTTCTTCCTCTTCTTCCTCTTCCTCTTCCTTTTCCTCTCCCTCTTCCTCTTCCTCCTCCTCCTCGGCCCCCTCCTCCTCCTCCGTTATACTAAACTATTATTATAGAAGTAAGTTTTTCTAATTATAGGAAAATTAGAGATTACATGTGAACAAAAAAGAAAAATCTACAACCACTTCACCTGAGATTACTGTATAATTTATTGAATTTCTATCATATTTTCTTGTAGCTATTTTTCCTTAATACGTGTGTCTGTGCATATTCATGTAAAACAGACATGACATAAAGCAAAAAAATAGAGCATTCTCCTTGAGACTAGCATAAGCAAATTTTATACATTCAGGTGTATGGAGGCAAGTGACATATTGAAGGGCTTTTCTCAAATCTATTTGGCTCATTCGTAGGCTTATGTGAAAAAATCATCTTCTGTTTGATAGTTTTTGAATAGAAAATGAATTAAAAGGGCTGCTCAGCGGAACAGTTTCAGACAAACCTGTCAATTCAGTTTTCAACTCTTTGCACCTGTGGGGGCTTTTGAACGTGGTTAATATTAATCAGAACTTCCTTTAAATTCTTTAATTAGTTCAGGAAGGAGGAAGGCCTGTGGCTTATTTTGTAGATCATTTCTGTCATTGATGCTATCAGAGAGTAGTTGACAATTTTTCAAATTGGCTTTTACTTCAGGCTTGGAGTTGCAGAGAAAACTGCCCTTGGAGGCACTCACTTACAGCTCACTTGGAAGCTCTTGGTGGTGGGGGTAGCTTGTCTCCTAGCACCATGTTGACCTTGCCACTTCCTTACTCTGAGAAATCTCCAGACGGGAGAACTAAGGCTTAGCAATGTGGGATCTCCGAATGAGTCTTAACATGGAAACCTCCTTACCCTGTGAAATACCAGCACATTTCCACCTCAGCTTCAGCTTTCACACCAGGCTTTACTTGAGGGATCAGGCTGAGGAGGTATTTGCATACTATTAAGGTCTAATATCACAGGCTGATATCGAAGTTGCTAATGTATGGCCTTGCCTAGCCTTAAACTCCTAACAGGGACTCCTGAGAGCAGTAATGGGAAGGTGCAGTTAAACTGGGGTCAGATGATTCAAGGTCTACGTATAAATGAAGCTTCACCCTTTCTTGTTTGCAAATTCATTCTGCAAGCATGTTGTTTGCAGTCACCTCTGCAGATCTCCTGATTAGGAGCCTTGGGGGTGTTGATGAATCTCACGTATAATCTGATGTGTTATATGCTGTGAATGAACTTGAGTGCCACTGTCCATAGTATCTGGTTTGACAAGATGATGACCAGTACATAGAATCGTGTAGGCCTTGACGTCTACGGAAATAGCTTCATGGTGATGGGTTTGATGGTGGTGGTTTCAAACTACGATCCTCATTAGGGGCAGGTAAAGATAGAGAACAGTTTCCATTTTTTTAAGTGCATGTGCCTGTGCTGAGAAGGTGATCTATAGTTTTATAGAAGTTTCCCTTTTTATTTGTAGATATAATACTTTGCCAAGCAGAAGAACCCTGAAAAATTCAAGATTAGTGAGTAAGAAAGATGACGTACATGTCTGTATCATGTGTTTACGTGCCATCATGAATTACCAGGTAGGTTTGTGTTCTGATTCTTTAAAAAAAAAAAATTGTCAGATTCAGATCTTGTCCTCTTTGGTTTTGTTGTATTATTTCTATTTGAAGTAATACCAGGATTTAATGTGATTCTACTAAAAAAGGGTGTGGTTCATTTTAATGTTCAAGATTTAACTCAGTGCCTGTGTATTTTAATTAGCATTTATACTTCGTGATGTATTTAGAGGGAAGATGTTTTCCTCCTACAGGCATAAACTTGTTTAGGTTATTATTGGGTAAATGTGACCATTAAAGACAGAGTAAGCCATTGGTTGTGGGCGATAATGGAACGTTAGGAGTGAATAGACTCTCATATGGGTCAGTGGTTCTCAAAGGGTTATATGGTAAAAAGGTGGGAAGTTAGAATTACTGTCTGTTGGATTTAGTGGTTCTTTTTTAAAAATTTTAACAATTTTATTTCTTTATTTGAGAGAGAGAGTGCGCGCAGGAGCACAAGCAGCGGGGGAGGGTCACAGGGAGAGGGAGAAGCAGACTCCCTGCTGTGGGCGGGGAGCTGGCCTCAAGGCTCGATCCCAGGACCCCAAGATCATGACCTGAGCTGAAGGCAGACGCTTAACTGACTGAGCCACCCAGGCGCCCCTGGACTTAGTGGTTCTTAATCTTTATAAGAAGCACCTGGAGGATTCTTGTTCAAAGGGCAGATTCCTCCTCTAGGTGATTTTGATGCAGGTGATCCCCATCATAACAGGGAGAGAGCCAGCTTAATGGGTGGGTTGGATTAGCTCTAACAACAAAGTCGAAGTTGGAGCCTGGAGTATCTAGGGTGAACTGACAGGTTCCAAGTTAGCCAAACTGTGGAAAGAGCCAAGATGTCCATCGATAGATGAATGGATAAAGAAGATGTGGTATATATATACAATGGAATATTATGCAGCCATC